ATCAGTACAATGAGAAGAACAATTGTAAGAGTTCCAAAAGTGTAGTAATTGAAACAATATGGGTATAAATGTAAATAAAGTAAAGCACACTCTCAAGTACAGAGCTTCTTACAAGTTTGAGGTAGACAGCATGTAGCGATTACATAGAAGAGAAGGGACACATCTCCTTAGGCATTATACCTGCCTCCTGGGAACCTTCCCTATAAGGATAGCCTCCTTCTGGTTTAAGAAGCGTCATGTTTGGTGGGCGCGCATCTAGTTCAAATATTGTGTGCAAGAATTTGGCGGGCCGAATGGCCATATGGGGCCTTGACAATCTGTATCTTCCCCCTCTTCTCAGCTTCAGTAGATGCGATTGGAGAATTTGCAGCTGATGCAGCGTGGTTCAGGGAGCAGCTGGGGCAGGTGAGTGTCAGGCAGGGTGAGGGCTTTACAAGTTCTCATTGTATATTAAAGACATAGAAAATCAAAGGAGTACCGGTTACAGTTTTAGGGGCAATAAACTTTCACTATAGAATCAGTGTACATGGTATAATCTCCGCTTGGGATATGTGCTCCCAGAATCCAGATAGTACACCCTGGGACACGTCACCCAGACCAATCAGTGAGATGAGGTGTTCTGTGTGCCTTTAGATGTCCATTAAATGTATACCTATTCAGCTATTCACATTGATTTTAAACAAACCCGTTCATTTAAAATGGTACCAATATCAGACGCCTTATTCGATCTAAAATTCTTTTGAGGCAAGTTTGGCAAAAGTTCAACATATTTAGTTGCCTATTTAGATCAGAATGTTCCACCAGATTTTGATGAAAAGGTTTTCGGCAAAAAAAAAGATTCTAAGCCCCCTAAATTATTTTATTTACCGGTAAATATAATTGTAAACTTTTGAAAAATGGAGCTGTCCTTATCCTGATGCTTTTCACCCACAAAGATAATATATAAATCCTGTCAATGATTAAGGAATTTCGCTACTCTATCCTCTGTGTCCACATCCAATTCCTTAACCTTGGGGTATTAGGAATAATACTGCTACATAATTGCCACTCTACATATTGTTTTCATGTAACAGAAAGGTAATAACCCAATGGCAAAACCTCGTAGGCTAGCACTTTGTTCATATAATTCTCATAACTGTTTTTTTACTTGTACAACCCCAAACCTACACTGGTCTTTTACTCTAAAAATTACCTTTATACTTACCACTGCTGCCTCTTACCACTCCCCTAGAGCAGTTGGATCCTTAGTGTACCAGCATCTAGTTAATCTCTTTCTGAACTCGACAGCCAAAGCTGGAATTCATCTACTGGCACTTTTACAAGAGAATGTCTGTTCAATATATTAGAAAGAGCTGAGCTATCTTGTAGTCTCCTCTTCTTCACCTTTACAGATATTTCAGTTGTCTTCTTCTAGTTGCCTGAGCTGTCAGAATTACTCTGGGTATCTGCACTTAGTTTGCCCCATGTCTTCAGTTTCATCATAAGTGATTAGTGATGTCCCGAACGGTTCGCCGAACGGTTCGCGAACGATTCGCCACGAACGGTTCGCCACGGACTCATCATTGAGTAAACTTTGACCCTGTACCTCACAGTCAGCAGACACATTCCAGCCAATCAGCAGCAGACCCTCCCTCCCAGACCCTCCCACCTCCTGGACAGCATCCATTGTGAAGCTGCATTCTTAGTGAGCTGTCCAGGAGGTGGGAGGGTCTAGGAGGGAGGGTCTGCTGCTGATTGGCTGGAATGTGTCTGCTGACTGTGAGGTACAGGGTCAAAGTTTACTCAATGATGAGTCTGTGGCAAACCGTTCGTGGCGAACCGTTCGCGAACCTTTCGGCAAACAGTTCGGGAGATCACTATAAGTGATGAGTTGAACTGCCCTTGGGCATAAAATACCTATACTATAAACCTCTGCTGTAGTATAAGGGGTAGGAACAGACCCTGCAGACCGACCTACTAGACATTTGACACAAAGCAAAAAGAAATGGCTTTTCCTATTAGACCATATCCAAGCCTAATCCACAAAGTCACATTTGCCCTTATCCCCAATCCAATTTCCCTGTCCTATTTCCCCCAACCCACTCACATTTATTTATATATCTATCAGTCTCTTGTGTCTCCCAATTTCCCAGAAATGATCATTTTATTGCTTTTGTCTCTCTCCCCATTTCATATGAAACCAATTGTATCTCTCTCACAATGTTCACCGTCATCCCTTCCTGTTCAGTTACTTTTGTTGGACATACTTCATTGTTGCATTCTAGCAACCTGAGACTGTGAAGAATGAGGACTATGGGAACACAGAGTTGTCTAAAGGGATTATATCTAGGATGCACTTATAATTAGCAATTTGTAATTTCCTGTGTAGTACAGATACTTGGTGTAACTTGGTATCATCTGCTCAAATATAGATATTATTTGTATATGTTTATATGAAGTTGCAGTCCCACAAATTAAATTAGTGTCCTTAAAATATACCCCCAGTAGGGTAAATTACCATTTTGATTTATTTATGTTTATCACACTTATTGCATGGTGGAAGAATTGCATTTCTACTTGTATACAAACATTTCAGGTCATGTGTGATATAATAGCTTTTCTAAAAAAAAAATAGAAAAAAAGTCTTCCTCCATATTTGTCACTAAAGAATGGCTAAAATGTAAAACTGTGTAAAATAACCTAATTTCATAATTTAAAGAATCATTTCTAAAACTGATCTTTTATCTTGATTAGCTATGTACCCTGTGTTCCAAATTAATGCTATTCTACCTTTGAAATTAAAAATAACATAGAAATATAGAATGTGACGGCAGATAAGAACCATTCGGCCCATCTAGTCTGTGTAGTGAATGGGTTAAGGGAAAAAACATTGAACACCATAAAAAGCTAAAATTGGAGAAATGCAGATTTATGGATTTTAATTTTTTTTTGTACAAGATTTTTTTTTAATTCCTATTTAATCTTTTATAATTGGCACTTCGTGTTAATGCCTGCTGTTTAGCAGTTAAATTCATTGCTAATCTTGTACCATGATTCTTGTGCCTTGGGCAAACTGCAAATTATCTGCTGGCTCATATGCACATTTCATACTCAAGGCTTGATAAATAGAAAGTAGCATGCTTCTAGTGCATAAATAAAGCATAAAATGCTGGGTGATAGTTTTACACACATTTACTTGGATTCATATTTGTGTACTAGATATGATTAGAAGAAAATATTATGGGACTGTGAATCTGCCCTCCGGTACTTTATGACTCACCTTTCCAATTCATAGCTTGGTGAATCTAGCTGAAAAGCACTTACTTATTTACATAAACAGGTATATAAACCAATTTGCCTGATCTCTCTTTTTTTGGTCAGCATTGGATTTGTACACAGAAGGCTATATAAAATAATAATAATATAATGTACATTATTTTGTGCATCATGTGGTATTATAAAAATCTGATTTTTTAAATTCGATTTTTAAGCTTTATATTGTTAAAATTGAATGCGTTATTTATAATTAGACGAGACTTCATAATTAGCACAAATGGCACTTGTCTCATCAGAGAGTTTAAGGAACCATTTCCACTTCAAATCAGCAATGGAATGCTGGGAGTTATCTGCTTGATGCTCAGATTTGTATTGGTTGCTGGCAACACACGTTCTCAAAAGCTATTTTAGCCATCGATTACAATCACTGTGGCTTGAAATATTGAGATGTAATTCCTAAACAGTCACCTCCACACAGAAATAAAAGTCAGTTCTTCACGTGGTAATTATAGTTTAACTTAGTATAGACTGGTAAAATGAAAATAATATGTATCCACATCAACTTACTCTCACATATAACAGAGTGGCAGCTCGAACAACCCTAGCAAGAATCTCTCTTTTCTTGTAGAAATAAGAGATAATGGTATGAAATTGTGGGCCCCCCCTTGAGTTTTAGCCCTGCAGCTGAAAACATAGCAGTTTCAGAGAAACTGCTATGTTTCACTGAGGGTTAATCCAGCCTCTAGTAGCTGTCTCACTGACAGCCACTAGAGGCGCTTCTGCGATTCTCACTGTGAAAATCAAAGTGAGAAGACGCTGGATGTCCATAAGAAAGCATTGAGTAATGATTTCCTATGGGCGGTTTGAATGCGCGCTCAGCTCTTGCCACGCATGCACATGCGGAGCTGAGAGGCGGATCGGGGCAGAGAGATCCCCAGCGCCAGGGGAGCCCGGCGCCGGAAAAAGGTAAGTGCTGAAGGGGTTTTAACCCCTTCAGCCCAGCGAGATGGGGGCCACAAGGGTGGGGGGGACCGAAGGACTATATAGTGCCAGGAAAACGAGTTTGTTTTCCTGGCACTATATTGGTCTTTAATGACACACATTCAGATACACATACAGACAAACAGATACCCATGCAGACCAAGAGATACACATACAGACCCACATACAGGCACACACACACACACACACACACACACACATGCAGACACACAGAGATACACATACATACACACACATACAGAGACACACTCATAGTGACAGACCCACATACACACTCACTGACAAACACATATACACTCTCACTAACAAACACACACCCACTAACAGACAAGCATACACACACACACTCACTAACAAACACACACACACTCTCACGAACAGATGCATACACACTAGCTAACAGACACACACATTTACTGGCAGACACACACTCAGTGACAGACAGACACACATACACTCTCACTGACAAACAGACACACATACACTCTCACTGACAAACACTCACTAACAGACACCAAACAGACTCACTAGCAGACACACACTCAATAACAGGCACAAACTAATAGACACAAACTAACACACTCAGTAACAGACACACACACAGTAACACACTCACTGACGCACACACACTAACACACATACACACTCACATTTTTTATTTACCTTTGGGTAAATTCCAGCTTTCCCTGGGGTCCAATGGGGCTGCTGGGTGGCCGGTCACTGCAGGCGGCGAGGGAGCACTGATCCTCCTGTTCAGCTCCCTCACGCGCCGCTTACTGATGCCGGAGCCGGAGTGACGTCATATTCTGGCACCGGCATCACTGCGGTGTGCGCGAGGGAGCTGGGAAGAAAGAGCTCAGGGGAGAATGCTCCCTCACCCGGCCGCCCAGCCTCCCACAAAGTGACGCCATTGCCAGCCTCAGGGGGCCCCCCAGGAGAAGAGGCTGGAAAAATGCGCCCGTGGCTGCACTGGCGTACATAACCTGGAGGGCTGGGCCTGGTCGCAGCTGCGACCCCTGCGACCGCGGTATGTACGCCAGTGCTCCTGTGTGTAATTTAAGTTGAATGAACAGAGCAAGAGATACAAATCTGTAAAATAAACACATTCTGTTGTAGGATCTGCTTGAAAATGAAATCTTTTTTTTCATGCAGGCTGTGTCAGTCACAGCCAGGAGAGGTGTGGCTAGTGCTGCATAAACAGAAACAAAAGTGATATAACTTCTAAATGGCAGAGAATTGAGCAGTGATACTGCAGGGGCATTATCTATACACCAAAACTACTGAATTTAGCTATAGTTGATTTGGTGCTTTGAGTATCCCTTTACGATGTTTGTGTTACTCCTACACGTGCATATTGAAGCAGACTTCAGAATAACAGGCTTGGTTGATATGAAAATAGACTAATTTTATTTTCTGGTAGCAACAAGTTGGAAGTGGTACCTTGCTGTGACAGGAAATGGAGCTATGAAATAACTTCAATAAGATTGAGCACTTAAAGATGTGCAGTGTGTCTCTTTTCTCTTGGTCCTGATGGGTAGTTTCAAAACATGAACTAAAACAGAAAGAGACATTATATAGTGTGGTGACTTGGGACTTTATGAGTCTGTAATATAGGTGCACTCACATTTCTTGGCGCCTTCTATATGACTCCTTAAAACAGGAGTGGTATAATCCGCACTCTAAGAATGTGTTGATGGTGCAGTACCTCCTTCGTGTTATATGTAAAAGACAAAAAAATCTATATAAATATATTGGTTGTGAGATAAATTCAATAGATGAAAATCCACTTCCTAGTTTCGGAGCAAAATAAGGCTTTGCTCTACACAAGGTTCTGGTGACACGCTCACCAAAGTGGAGGATGAAGTCCAGATGATTTGTGGAGTTCCAGAATAAGACAGGATAGTCCAGGAGAATTAAAAATCATACCTATCTTTATTTGATACAATAAAATAAATAAAGTGGTGATAAGCCAAGGGTAGTAAAAATAACACTAACGTGTTTCGCCACAGGGTAGGGTTTAAAAAAAAAAAATGGTTGTAGAAAACAAAGAATGGACTGCACTATCTCACTACTATGAATACCCTTTATACATGATGAAATTCCAATAACCAGAACAAATTATATATAAAAATACAATCATCCTCACCGCAATAATGGGAAGGTGATGAAAAAGTTTAAAAAGAAAGAAAATTATTGGGTTTGTATATAAAAACCGACAATTTATTAATATAAAGAAAAGAAAGTATAGTTGATAAGTAAACAATTCATTGATTATAAATATGTACTATAAAAATGACTCTTGCATTCCTGCTAAAATGTCCACTGGCCAGCAATTCCCTCTCTGCGGCATCCCAACAGCTTCTGGGTTTATATGTACGTGGATTCTTCTTAAGCTCCTTCAGTTTCCATAAGGCAGTGCAGTAGGGGCATCCTTTTAAAAGCAACTTTGTTCAAACATGTTTTGCCTTATCAATGATGCAAAGGCGATCTCTCTGTATGTAAGGGCTGTCATGCTTATCATGTACGGATAATTTTGTGCCCATTGCTGAGCAATCACTTAGTGACCCTCTTTTAGATGTAATATACAACTCTTTTTTGATTTTTCTTATACTTACTCCTCTGGACTTGGTTTGTCTATATTGGGGCAGGTTACCATTGTAACCCGTTTCCAGTGCTGAATCTTGACTAGCTGACCATACCCATTAGGGTACCTCTACCAATCAGTTTGTTGGGGAGGAACTTACCTCTGGGCTTTCTCATCCCCCTAACCCGGCTTGCTTATTAAGTTAGTGATCGGTGTGTCTAAGCAACCCATACATTTAAACTGATGGACATTTTAGGATCCCTCCAGTTATTTCCAAAACTATAAGATTTCAGGCACATTATACGTTTTCTGATCCTCAATCCAATCGGGGTGAAGGATGAGTCACCATGCCAGCCCGTGACCATTTACAAACACTTGGACAGGGTAGCAATGTTGACCAAAGGCCATTCGTGTTGTTGTTTTGTGGTCAGTTTCATGGCAGTGATCCTCACTGTTACTGCATTGACCTCTCACATTCAGAGACTAATGTCTAGAATCCATGCTTTAAATTGTGACAGGGTGGTCTAATATTTTTTTTTCTGCAAGAATAGGGAGAGTGGTTATTATGAGCTTCCAGGACAATTGTTGATTTATATTTATTTTATATGGTTGTATGGTTTTATGGTAAACTTACACTGAAAGTACCCCCTGTACAGGGTTTATATATAAACTAAATCTATTTACCCAGGGCTGGTGCAAAGATTTTTGGGTACACAGGCGAAGATGATTTTTAATAAATATTAAAACAAATATATATATATAAATGAAACGAAGAGGGCTGCACTCACCTAAACATGCATACATTATAGGGTGCTGCTGGGGCCAATATATACAACATACACAATACAGCGCACTCAAGATTGTAATAGTTTTATTTAAAAACACCTCACCTAGGCAAAAAATAATGGGGGTTTAGTTACATTATATGATCATACATTGCAAAAGCCTGCCACAATGTCAATGTGCCTTATTCTTGGCAGGTCCTACTCTAGCAGCCTAATGCTTGCTCTTATGAGATTAATCCACTTACTTGGGAAATACTTCCTTCCTGGGACTCTCTGCAAGTCAGGGCTAAATAGGGTCCTGGAATATGTATTTTGTATATATATATATATATATATATATATATAGTTAATACATTGCTAAACACAAATGCACACATCAGTCAAGCCATAAGATTTGCTTTTCCCACAGAAATCTCACGTTAACAGTGCTCTCACTACTGCAAGGGATTCTGGGTAGTTGTATGCAAATGAGCTCAACAAAGAACCACATTTTTGCCTCATAATTCCACTTTATACATGGATTCCTAACTAAAGTTTCTGCTATCTAGACACTAAAGAGCCTCCTATCTTGATTCAGCATCTCCACGCTCCGCATGGAGGATGTGAACGTTCCCCATAGAGATGCACTGATTTAAAGCATCTCTATGAGGAGATGCTGATTGGTGCAGAATTTTGCCGCACATGCTCAATAGCTTCCCAATATTTTCCTGTGGAAAAGCATTGGATTGGCTGAGATCATCAAGATTGATTATCTAAGCTATGAAGGCGTGCTAGCCTCAGCGAGGCGGGCACGTCGTTGGAAAAAAGGCAAGTAAAAACACCATTCCCATGTGACCCAAGGGGAGCTGGTGACCTAAACATGTACATACACTGACAGATGGATACACACACACATATACACAAACATATACACAGACAGACACATATACACAAACATACAGAATGACACACATAGACACACTCACAGATATATGTACACACACTGACACACACATGTACACACACTCACTGACAGACACATTCTCTCACACACTCTCAAAGTATTTTTTCATTTCATACACACACACAGATTCATAGATACACACAGACAAATAAACATACAGACATACACATGACAGATATACAAAAGCACAGAAAAAAAATAAATACATATACTACCACCCTCCTCTTACCTACCTTGTGGGTGCAAGAGGGGCTTTCCTTGGGTGTAGGGGGACTGGGAGCAGGTTATAGTGGGGCTGGATGCGGCTGATAGGAGTGGGCTGCCGCTGGTCCAGACTTCCACTGTCCTGTCTTTGTAGCTCAGTGCGCCGAGAGGAAGTAAAAGGAACTTAACTACTTCCTCCCGGCACCGAACCAGTGCAGCGGAATGGGCAGGCTAGCGTGCTGGCAGGAGGTTCTGCTGAGTGAGTAGGGCATGCAGGCGGCTCTGCAGAATGGGCGGGCGGCTCTGCGGTCAGACATCTCAAACTGTTTCTCTGTCAGCTTGTCCTTTTCCTATGCGGTCTCATCTCCGCGAGGACGTAGTTACAGTTCCCTTCACTTCCTCCTGGCGCAGAGATAGAGAGATAGTAGGACGAATCCAATACGCCAGGAAAAAATTCTTAGTCACTATGGCGACCTGGCGCCTGGGATTTGTTGAGCCCTGCACTAAAAAATGATTTCAAATCTCAGATTGTAATAGTTTTATTTAAAAACACCTAACCTAGGCAAAATAATGGGGGTTTAGTTACATTATATGATCATATATTGCATAAGCCTGCCACAACGTCAATGTACTACATTTTTGGCAGGTCCTACTCTAGCAGCCTAATATCTGCTCTTATAAGATTAATCCACTTACTTGGGAAATACTTCCTCCTGGGACTCTCTACAGGTCAAGGCTAAATAAAATCCTGGAAGGAGGCACCCGTGACAGGGAGGGGTGCAAAACCAAGAAGTTGGCCTGGACTCCCAAATATATAAATGAAACTAAAAGGGCTGCACTCACCTGAACATGCATACATTATAGGGTGTAGCCGGGGCCAGTATATATTGCAAAAATGGTATGTACAATTATTAAAAATTTTATATGTAGCTGGTCCTTATAAGAATTCAATCAGTGTAAAACAGGGTCATGTGGTTGCAGTGTGTCTAATTGGAAAATCCACTTCATCTCTCTTTTTTACAATTCCTTAAAATGGTCCCCCATTCCAATGTTTTGATACAGGGAAAATGACCCCAAATTCCAATAGACTGACATCTGCATTGTGTGCTTCTACGAAGTGTGCAGAAACTGAATGTTGCATACATTTCTTAGTGATGTTGTGCATGTGCCCTCTCATTCGAATTGTTAATTTTCTGGTGGTCCTACCACATATATAGTAGTCCACTTTAGCACATAATTAAAATTGTTGCTTGAGCAAGTGAGGAAATTATTGATCTTAAAAGATATTTTGTTATAGGAAGAACTGTCCTGATTTATTACTTTCTAGAGTTTTTTTATTAGTATT